CCTCTGCCCCCTCCCTGAGCTTCCTCTGCTCCACCCTCCCTGAGCTTCCTCTGCCCCGCCCTTTCTGAGCTTCCTCTTCTCCGCCCTTCCTGAGCTTCCTTTGCCCCGCCCTTCCTGAGCTTCCTCCTTCTCCGCCTTTTCTGAGCTTCCTCTGCCCCACCCTTCCTGAGCTTCCTCTGCTCCGCCCTTTCTGAGCGCTGAGCTTCCTCTGCCCCCTCCCTGCCTGGGCTTCCTCTGCTCCACCCTTCCTGAGCGCTGAGCTTCCTCTGCTCCGCCCTCCCTTGCTAGCTGCTGTTACCGTTAGCATGGAGGTGGATGGAGAGGGAGAAAGTGAGCAGTTTACTCTGTGGTTAGCTGTCATATGAAGTGTTTCCATGAAACACGCTGTTAGGGCGCATTAAGGCATGCAGAGGAGTTTTATATGTGCAGGTCTAGGCTAACATATTAGCATTTTAGCTCTGTGTGAAATAAAGATAATTTTAGAAAGAAAATCTGATTATTCCATTGATCCCATTACTCTTCCTACTGACATGCAGGCTGCACCGGAGCTTCATGTTTTCATTGAACTCATTTCTTAAAGGCTTAAACTTCTCTATATAATTAATAATCTGTGGCTTTAAAGCTGCAGCTTTGCTCATTTAGCCATTAGACAGGCTGTTTTCACCTGAATGCAGACACTGGTTTCCTTTTTAATGCTCATCTGTTGAAGTGAAATCTACTTATCAAAAGAAACCAAATGTATTTAGATTCATTTCTCAGGCAGAGGGGAACGGTGAGGTGCAGAGCCGCTTATGGAGGATGTTTGGCCATGGCAGCAGCAATGAGCACAAACATAAATCGGACCTGGTTCTGGAGCGGCCAGAAGCAGGCAGAACTTCTGCAGTGGCCTGGCTAAACCTCAGAGGTTCAGACAGGAAGACAGGCCCGTCAGCCAGACTTCCACAGTAGGATCAGTAGACAGCAGCAGGTCTCTGACTGCTGCAGGAGCTCCTGGAACAAAAACTAAATAAAGAGCTCTCTGCGACAGGCAGAGACCCTATGGAGCTGCTGCTAATCCTGCACACAGTCGGCAGTCGGTGTGAGAAAAAAATCACTTTTATCAGAATCAGACAGCAGCTGGAGGTAAGATGGCGGCATGGTGACCTCCAGCAGGAGATATGGCAGGACACCTGCAGCAATCAGTGTGAGAAGGATTTACGGACAGGAACTCAACATGAAATTAGCTAAAAATAAGCTGAGGAAGACCTTAATGTGAGCTAAACACTATCTAATCATTATCAGAACAAAATCTGATCATTAGCTAATCATTATCGGAACATTAGCTAATGATCAGGTAAACATCTGCTGGGCTTATTTGTCACTGGTAGACCATCAGTTTTTGAACCACAGCTGTTGTTCCCTCAGGTGGACTCACAGTTCCTGCCTGGTTCTTCGCAGCTTGGCCTTAGCATCGGCCAGCTCCACAGACAGATGCTGCTTCTCCTGCTTGGTCAGCTGGGTCCCAGCCAAGCCTTCGTCCTTCAGAACGGAGTCTCCCTGGCTGCCCAGCTTCCTGGTTCCTTCTTGGGGCTGCAGACTGGACAGGTAGTCCCTCTCCTGGGTGAGGTCCAAGATTACCTGGGGGACAGGGTGGAGTTTGTGCTTTAGGCTCGGCTCAGACAGAGGGCAACAGGACCGGATCCAAACGTCTTTCAACCTCAGTGGCTTTGTCTCGCTGATCGATGAGTTGCCGTAGTGACGCCGCCATGTTCCGGGACAGCGGCTCCAGCTCCTCAGGGACCAGCTGGGCTCCGTCCTCCACCCAGGAGAGGTCCAGGACATTCTGCTGGTTGTGTGTGACCTGAAACAAACAGAATCAGACGTTTCTCCTCTCATCCTGTCAGGAAGTAGGACTCTGGTGTCCGAGGACGACGGTCATCAGAACAACTTTTACCATTTTAGAAACCTGGAACTGGTTCCTTCCTGGACCCAATCCCAGTTTGGGATTATTTTTTGCTTTAGATAACATTGGATTTCTCTGAAACTAAAGTTTATAGGAGCTGCAGATGTTCCACAGACCTCCTGAATGTGAGTAACAATGGCCGCCTGGGTCTCGATGTCCAGCAGCTTGATCTTCTCGATCATCTCCTCCTTCCGCTCACACTGAGGACAGACAGAGAACATAGAAGAAGAAATCCTCAACCTTTATTGTTTCAGAGACGATTAACGGCAGAAAGACGTCATTGGTTGCTATGGTGATTTAGGTGGTTTAATCTAACTGATGGTCGTTATTTAGTGGACCGTTGGTCTGGACCACTGTGTCGATATGAAAGGTGACAGAATCTTCTGCTTTGTCCATCTGGGGGTTTTGCTGTGTGGCTCCTCAGGGGTCAATTCTAGGGGCCCTTCATTCCGTCTGGTTTTATTGTCTTGTTTTTATTCCCCCCCGCCTGGAATCAGAGCTTCAGCTGCTGCTGATGGCAGCAGGAGGTCTGACATCAGGGAGTCTGATCATAGAGTCAAAGTACCAACAGGCTGCGGTTTAGGAGAAATAAGCTTCAGAAGTTTGTTTAACAAATTCCTGTGGGACAAAGACCGATTCTTTAGAAATCAGCCTCCCCCCCCCCCGCCTCCCTCTTCCTGAAACCAGTCAGACCGGGCCCAGACACAGAGGGACGAAGCGGGGGAGAAGTTGGGATGGAAGCAGGGAATCAGCTATAAACACAGAGCTGAATGGAGCTGCCCCACCTCCACATCCTCAGGTTACAGCCAGAACGATCGGGTTTCAGTAAGCCCCGCCCCCTGACCTCGCCATGCCGGCCTGTTTGAGCTCCTACCTGGACGGCGCAGCCCAGGATTAGCAGCAGCAGGTTCTTCAGCTCCTCCATGCTTCTCACTGTGGAAACAAAGCAGTAAGTTAGTGTGAACAGCAGGGGGCGCTGCAGCTGCCATTTGGTGACGATGCCTGAAAGTGGGTCTGGACCAGTCGGTACTGCCCCCGCCACCCAGAACACCAGTTCTCAGAGTCAATTTTTGACTAGAAACCAGGAAAGTCTGGACTCGGGGAGAACGGGAGCACAAAGGATAAATCTGGGTCGACTTGAACAGAAGTGAACTGATGACATCACCACATTCAAAGCTAGCCTGACTGATGACATCACCACATTCAAAGCTAGCCTGACTGATGACATCACCACATTCAAAGCTAGTCTAAGTTAGAAAATTAGTCACATGAACCTCCTTCTTTATAAGGAATGGGGAAAAAAGGAAGTGGCGTCTGCAGTCGGAGTTGCTGTGTGGCGGGTTAGTGCCAGCCCCCTGAAGTCGCTCAGTGTGAGTGAAGGCGATACGGGGGGGACTGAATTGGGGGGGCCTGGATCAGGGGGATTG